CCCCCGGCATTAGGTCCTCATTTTTCCCCTCCCTCCCTGCTCCCCCCTCCCTCATGAGCCCTTGATAATTTATAAATTGTTATTTTGTCATATCTTTCCCTGTCTGACGTCTCCCTTCACCCACTTAAAGGAATTTTTAAAAGCAAAACCAGCATTACAAAAATATTAACTGGATCACTTTGGGCTGAGAATCAACAACAGCAGAGAATCGTATAAGACTGTACCATCCAGAAACCATTACAATGAAAGGACACTCAGAACAACACAGAATTAGAGGAAGAACAAAAATACAATAACCACACACCCATGAAAAAGAAAGTAAACACAAAGACAACAAAATGACAGCAACAAGCTCACATTTATCAATAAAGACACTGAATGTCAATGAGTTAAAGGCACCAATCAAAAGATACAGAAAATCAGACTGGGTTTGAAAACAAGGCCCATCTATATATGCTCCCTAAAAGAACACTTCTTAAACTCAAAGACATAAATACACTGAAAATCAAAGGATGATGAAAAATCCACCAAACCAATGCCAATGATAAAAAGGCAGGAGTGACAATATTAATCTCAGATAAAATAGACTTCAAGACAAATAACTTAATAAGTGACCAAAATGGACACTACATAATGGTTAAAGTAATTCCAGGGATATGTAACCAGTATAAACATATGCTCCCAATGAAAACTTTCAAAATACATCAATCAAATCCTCAAAGAATTGTGGATAGACATGAACAGTGCAACAATAATATTAGAAGACTTTAACACACCACTCTCAAGGAAAGACAAATCATCACAAAATACATTTAATAAAGAAAGAGAGCTAAACCACACAACCAGCTCAACCTCCTGGACATACACCGAGCATCCCACCAGATAACAGAACAATGTACATTCTTCTTCAGCATACATGGTACATGTTCTAGAATGGATAACATGTGAGACCACAAAGCAAGTCTTTGCAAATTAAAAAATATCAAGAGCCTACAGTGAGTTTTCTCAAATCACACTGCTATAAAACTGGAAATCAACCCTAGAAAGAACAAGAACACAAAGACAAACACATGAAAAGTAAACAATATGCTTAAAAGCAAGTTGGTAATAGATCAAATAAGGGATGGAATTAAGCAATTCCTTAAAACAAATGATAATGATAACACAACATACCCAAACTTTTGGGCCATAGCACAGGCAATTATCAAAGGTCAATTTATAGCAAAAAATGCACATATGAAAAAAGAGAGAAAGCCAAAATCAACAACTTAACATCTCCAACAACTAGAACCAGGGCAACAACATAAACCCTCCAAAAAGAGGGGGGGCGGAAACTATAGAAATTAGAGCAGAAATGAATGAACTGGGAAACCAAAACAATGGGGGGAAATCCATGAATGACATTTTGAATGAAAATTGACAGACTGCTGGAACATTTAACAGGAAAAGAAGATGCAGATGTATAGTTTAGAGAATAAGATGGCAACATCACAACAGACCCAAATGAAATAAAAGAGTAAGAACACAGTACTATG